CCCCCCCCCGTCTCTTTCTCTCTTTTCTTTCTGTTCTTACAGACGTCTCACTAATCCAGCACCATTTGTTGAAAAAGCTATCTTTCTCCCATTGAATTGCTTTTGCACATTTGTGAAAAATCAGTTGGCTGTACGCATGTGGACCTATTCCCGGTTTGCTATTCTGTTCCATTGGTCCATATGTCTGTCTCTCCACCAAAATCACACAGTCTTGATTACCTTAGCTATGGAAGTCTTGATATCTGGTAGCATGCTTCCTCTGACTTTATTCTTTTTGTTCAAACTTGTTTTAGCTGTTCTCATTCCTTTGTGGGTTTTTCTCCATTGACAAGATGTAGACAAAATAATCTTGTCTCTATCTACCAAAAATGCTGCTGGGATTTTGATAGAAATTGTGTCAGTTTGAGGAGAATTGGCATATTTGCATGTTGAATCTTACACTCTATAAACATGGTATGTCTCTTCATTTATTTAGATCTCCTTTCTTTTATCGACATTCTGTAGTTCTCAGCATACACTTGCTACACATGTTTTATTAGGTATACACCTAAGCATTTTATACTTTTTGGAGTGATTGTGAATGGTACTGTATTTTTAATTTCAGTGTTCACATATTCAATGATAGTATATAGAAATGCAATTAATGTTTTATGTTTATCTTGTATCCTAGGACCTTACTGAACTGAATTATTAGTTCTAGATTTTTTTTTTTTTTTTTTTTGTAGATCCCTTGGGATTTTCTACAGAAGCCATTATGATATCTGCAAATATAGACAGTTTTTATTTTTTTCCTTTTTAACTTGTATGCCTTTATTTCTTTTTCTTGCCTTAATGCATTGGCTACAGCTACTCAGATTTTATTTTATTTATTTATTTATTTAAAAAAATTTTTTTAACGTTTATTTATTTTTGAGACAGAGAGAGACAGAGCATGGAGGGAGGGTCAGAGAGAGGGAGACACAGAATCTGAAACAGGCTCCAGGCTCTGAGCTGTCAGCACAGAGCCCGATGCGGGGCTCAAAGTCATGGACCGCGAGATCATGACCTGAGCCGAAGTCAGCCGCTCAACTGACTGAGCCACCCAGGCGCCCCAACAGCTACTCAGATTTTAAAAGAAATGACCTTTTTTAAAGATTAAGAGAAATCGATCCATACAACTTGGATAGATCTCAAGAGCATAATGCTGTCTTAAAAAGAAAAAAGCCAATCTCAAAAGATGACGTATGATCCCATTTATATAACACTTTCTAAATGATAAAAATTAGGGAGATAAGAGGCAGATTAGTGGTTGCCAAAGGTTAAGGTTAGCGACAGACGGTGGAGGCAGGGAAGAGTCCGTGCCACTGTGCAAGAGTAGCAGGAGAAGGATCTCTATGCTGATAGCATGGGTCTGTATCTTGATAACAGTGGTAGTTACACATCGCTGTGCTTGCAAGAAAATGCCATAGAAGTATGCACACACATTGCAACAATACCAGTCTCCTGGTTTGTGTATTGTATTACGGTCACATAAAATATAATCTTCGGTAGGAAACTGTATGAAAGGTCCGTAGGACCTCTCTTTGTACTATCTCTGCAACCTCCTATGAACCAGTAAGTATTTCAAAACAAAAAGCTCAAATAAGTTCAAATAAAAAGTTGATGAGGGTGGGGAGAAAAGGGAACCCTTGTGCACTTGTTGGTGGGAATATAATTGGTGCAGCCATAATGGAAAACAAGATTTTCCTCAAAACGTTACAAATAGAACTATCCTATGATCCAGCAATCCCACTTCTGGGTATATATCCAAAGGAAATGCAAACGGGATCTCAAAAAGGTATCTGCATTCCCATGTTTACTGCAGCAAAGAGAATCTGGAGGCAGAGAAGACAGTGAGGAGGTATTTTGGATGGTCTCACCCAGGGCCCAGGCAGCTCTGGTGGGCAGCCTAAGAGTCTCCCCAGATCACACAGGCGTCGAGCATGTGGACACACAGATTACGCAGCCCCTGCCTCTGCAGCAAGCTTGGAGATGGGCTGTGCACCAGAGCACGATCCAGATTCCAGACACAACCCTAATGTGTGTGGGTCCTGAGGCAGGAATGCAAATGGAAGCTCATCTATCATATGTCTGCATATTTAACAGTTATGAATAAAGCTAACAAGTGAGATAAATAAAATCTATCCTATGGCCCTTTGTGAAATAGCCCTTCATGGGGCGTCTGGGTGGCTCAGTCGGTCAAAGTGTCTGACTTTGGCTCAGGTCATGATCTCGCGGTTTGTGGGCTTGAGCCCTGCGTCAGGCTCTGTGCTGACAGCTCGGAGCCTGGAGCCTGCTTCGGATTCTGTGTCTCCCTCTCTCTCTCTGCCCCTCCCCCCCC